TCTCACTCCCCTTGATAGCAAAACTCCTGAAAACAGGTGGTCTTTACCACTCGTCTCCAATTCCTCATGTCCCATTTTCCCTTGAACCCACCACTCTCAGACTTTGTCCCCAAAACAGCTCTTGTGGAGCTCACCAGGGACCCCTCTGCTGCCAGGTGTACTGCTCATTTCTCAGTGCTCATTGCCTAACCTCTCAGCAGCTTCGGACTTGGCTGGCCACCCCCTTCTTAAAGTAGTTTCTCTGCTTTACCTCTGGGATCAATGTATCCATGTCTCTCTCCTTTTCTTCCTCCTCCTCCTTCTCCCACATTGGCTACTCTTCCCCCAACCTCTAAATGTTGGTTCCTGGTGCTCAGGGCTCAGCTTTCTTCTCCTTCTCACTGTCCACAGCTTTAAATTCTCTGATTCTCAAATTTCTATCTCCACCTGACCTGCAGATTCATCTGTCCAACTGCCTACTCACCTCTCCACCTGGGTATCTCTCAGACATTTTAGACCTGCCATGGCCCAAACAAGTAGTCTTGAACCCGCTCCTCTCACCATCTGCCCTTGTCTCCATAAATGTCAAGCCCATGTTTCTAGGCACTCAGGCAAAAGACCTTGGAGTCATCCTTGATCATTCTTTCTCTCTCCCCTCACATCCAATCCAACAACAAATCTTGTTGACCCTACTTCCTAAATATATCCCCAATCCGACCGCTTCTTATCACTCCCACTGCCATCACGTGGGCTCAAATTGCAGTCACCGCTCACCTGCATGAATTCTAGAACCTGGATGGCTCCAAGGATGGAGCCTTCTGGTATGTCTTCCTGTTCCACCCATGCCCCCTCAGATTCTCTATGGCAGCCAGAGGTATCCTTCAAAGATGGAAGTCAGATCAAGTTGCTTCTCTGCTCAGAACCTGTAATGGCTCCCATATCACCATGAGTAAACACCAAAGTCCTACCTGGCTCACAAGACCCTCATAACCTGGCTCCCACTAGCCCCTTGAACACATGTCCTTATGCCTCTCCCCTCCTGTTCTAGATTCATTAGTCTCCTTGAACTAGATGCCAGACACATCCAAGGCCTTTTTGTTTATTGCCTCCTCCGGAATAGAATATGCTCCTTCCACATATCCGCACAGCCTGCTCCCCCACTTTCCACATCTTCACTCAAATGCCACTTTCTCAAGGAGGCCTTCCTTGAACACTATCTGAAGCAATCCCCTCTCTGGTGTCCCTAATCCTCCTTTCTCTGCTGTATTTTTTCTTCTTAGCAACACCACCCAAAAACTCCTTAATCTTATATTGTCTGTCTCCCTAAAACACAAGATCCCTGAAGGCCAGGAAGTTTGTCTACTTGGTTCATAGCTGGATCCCAGAACCGGACCCACACCAGAACCCAGAACATAATAGGCATCCAGTGAACCTTTGCTTAATGAAGGGATAAATGAATGATGGTCATTCGAGTTGTTTTCAATCTTTTGCCACCAAAACATACGCTGTAATGATCAGTATTGTGCACAGATCAGTTTGTTTTTGAGTGAATATATCTGTAGGACAAATACCTGGAAATGGAATTGCTGGGCCAAAATACATGAACAGATTTAATTTTGATAAACATTTTCCAAAAGTTTTGGTGATTAGAAGTCTACGACTTTGTGCTGAGCAAGTTACATAGTGAATTCTGTGGCACTCTATGCTGACCCGGGGTTTCACTGGAGGGAGAGAAAGTAATCAGGAGAGAAGTTGCCCGAGGAATCCAACCAAGAACTTAACTAGCCATCAACATGAATTACTGTCCCATCAAAGATGCTAGCGAGTCATCATGGTATCCTGGCCACACTGCATTTGTCACGGGCACAGCGACTGCTTGAGGGCATGGACTGAAAGGCCAGATATAGTTTATATTATTTCTGATGTTGGAAGACTTTATAAGAGGACATTCGGCATATCTATGCAGAGCCTGTGCCTTTTTTCAAGCAGATTTGGAGATGCCCTAGCTAAAAATCTCCTTGGACTCTGTCATGGTTGCCAAATGGCATGACCTCTGGGGATTTTATTCACATTGTGGTCAGTATAAATGGAGCAGTGCACAGCCTGGGCAGCTGTGTGCAATGACCTTAGCATTCTATGGTACTGTTCTGGGTGAAGAACTTGAAATCGTTCCAGGGTTCATCATACCGCGCCAATCCTGTACTGGAACAGTCAGTCAGAGCTCTGCAACAGTGGTCTGCCATGTATGGACAGTTAGAAGACTGTTTCTGAGAGGGGGTCCACCCTTTCTGTGGATGACTTGGAGGACTTTGTCCTCCTCCAAGGAGCCTCACCCAGCCATCATTACTGGCTTTACCTGCAGCACAGACCATGAAAGGGATCCTTGATGGAAGGGTTTGACCTTGGAGGCCCCTAGGCCTGCCCTTCCTTGCGCATCACATCCATCTAAGGTCAAGGGGGAGAGCTGCCCATAGAACTAACTGCTCAGTAAGCAAGATCTCGAGATGAGCCCACAGGCTTCTATCCAGCCTGAAAGTCATAAGAGCTAGATGGGCCGGAGGCCACACTGCTGGGTCTTGATAATCTGGCTCCTCTAGGGCCTTCTGGGTTGGATTTCTTTAAACTTCACCTCAGGGAGGTCCTGGATCCTGCAAATGCTAAAGTGGCATCACACCATCTCCTGAACATCCAGGACAAGATTCTGGACACGAGCGCCCTCTGTTGTTCAAAGTGCACATCAACCATCTTACGTCCATCTGCTAGGCAAAATTGGAAGTCCAACAAGCAGACTGGTGGGAGTGCTGACCATTGCCACCACTTTGAAGAGCAATTTGGCCACCATCTAGTAAAACTGAAGGTATGCATACCCTTTGAGGTAGCAATTCTACTCCTAAGCACAGACACCCTAGAGAAAACTGTGCACATGAAAGCCCGTGTAATAATGTTTACTGTAGCATTACTGGCAATGGTGAAAGCTGGAAACAACATAAATGATCATTAACTAGACACGATACAAAGCTTAGTGCTACGGTGGACTGCTATACAGCGGGAAGATGGATGCACTAGAGCTACAAACAGTACTATAAATAAATCTCAACAGGGTTGAACAATAATAAAAGCTAAAGCAAGTCACAGAAAGTTGCATATACTACGATGCTACTTACGTAAAGTTTAAGAGTGAGCATAAATGCTATTGGTTGTTTAGGCATACACATATGTGGATTACAAGTTCTAAAAAAGGTATTAGGAGGATAAATCCCACATTCAGATTAGTGCTTATCTTTGGAGAAGGAAAGAAACAGGACTGGGGCAAGCTATCAGGGCACTTTTATGCCTCTGTAATTTTTTACAGCCTCTCAAATGTTTATTATAATATAGGTGTGTTTACCTGCCTGAGGTATTTCAGGATTAAACAGATGTTTTAAAGAGTGCCTGAATCAAACGGGGGAGTGGTTCTGTGGGTGCTGGCCCCAGAAGCCCATCTCATGAATCCATTCCGTACTGGGCTCTCTCGACAGGGATGCCACCAAGGGGCCTGCCCCGTCTGGAGACCTGTGTGAATCTCCCCATTTATGAACATCTCCAGAGTATACAGTTTCCTCACAAAGTCCAGTAAAGTGTAACTGAAAGACTCAAGGGAAAACATGAGATTGATCATCATTCTAGAAATACAGCTGAAGTACTTTATAAAAACCACTGGCTTTCTTCTCATGGCCGTTTTCCCTTAAATGTATGAGGTTTGCATTTTTTCTTCGTTGTCAGACATCACATGTTCACAACCTCCTTATGCCAGCCACGTGGCTTGGGAGGCACACTCATGGCTCAGGAGATCCATGTGCTCTTCCTAGAGTGGACCTCTGTGGTTGTGAACCTCAGATGTTATAGCCAAGAATGCTGGGGGCCAAGGCAATTCCTATCTGATGAATACGAGTGGTGGGTGTCTTACCCATTGCCATCCCCCCAACATCAGAGGCTGTTCCCAGCTGCAGAGCAGAGCTGGGAAGGAATAGGGATTTCAAACCCCATTAAATCTGGATTCTTCTTCCTGTGTCATCTGTGTGACCCTTCTGAGTGAGCACTGGTGTGGGTGAGCACATGTGGACATGGCACTGTTGAGGCCAAGGTTGGGGGCCTCAAGATGGTGGAGTTCTGACCCGTGCCCATTGCTGGCTGCTCACTGATGAGCTGGCATTTGGAGGTGGACCTCCCCAGCCTTCCCAGCTGGGGTTACCAAGGCACATTGCTTTGGGATGTACCTTGAAGTGCATCTCCACCTTGAAGAGCACCTTGAAATCCCCTTATTCCTCAGGGGACTGGCTCAGGCAGCCGTAGCGGTGGCCAGGGGAGGTAGGGAGGCAAGGCCACATGGTGGCAAAGATCACCATTAAGAATCCTGTCTGTACACCTCAGGATGCCTGCGGCCCTGCTATAGCCCTGTGAAATGTGCCCAGTGGTCCCTCACGGGGCTCCTGGGGGGATGCAATGAGAGAAGATGTAGATGGATTTGGTAAGGACAAGGTCACGACCCACCTGGTCTATTATCCTGAATAAAACTGTAACACTCTTCCCTGATTTGGGTACTAGCTGGGATTCCCAGCAGGGAGATACCTTTTCTTAGGCATCTTCTTGATTCCTGCTGTCACAAATCCACTGATGACACCCACCACTGCTCCCTGCCCCCGTGCCCAGCCAAACCTGCCTTCCCACTGCAGCCTCAAGTGTGCCCAGTGCTTTTCCACACTTGCTCCTTCGATTCCTTTGACTGCAATGTCCAAATGCCATTCATTGAAATAGGATCCACTCCCGGCTCATCCCCTCTCTGAAGCCTTTCCCAATTTCCCCCAAATGGATGCGAGGTCCCTCTCTTTGGAACCTTGAGGGCAGGGCCCACGCTCCCTTCCCCGGTACATGCCTCCAGGGGCCCGTGGCAACTGCCTGACATGTAACAGGCCCTCATGAGCACTAAGCTGCAGGACGCTAGCCAGGCCCGGTGGAGCCGTCAGTGCCCCCCAGACCCTTACCTTGGGGGTGAACATGTGCAGGATGCCATCGACGGCCCCTCGCAGCAGCAGCCCCCGGACCAGGAAGCAGATGAGCACCACATAGGGGAATAGGGAGCTGAAATACATCACCTACAGAGAGGACAGGGACCCACCGTGGGGCAGAGTGCCTCCTGCGGCTGGCACCCCCCCCACAGCTGGGGCATCCCCCTCCCTGCACACAGCTGGGGCAGCTTCCTCTGATGGCAGCAGAAAGAGAAGCCCTGGAACCCCCGGGCACAGGGCCAAACCCACCGCACGCCCGGCACTGAGCCAAGGCAGAAGCAGGAGCACAGACGAGCTGGAGTCAGCCTGGCTGTGCCTGGGGCTGGCTTCCTCCTTTCAAGAGCTGGCAGGGCTGGGCCTGCAGCCTCCGCACCCCCAACGGCCGCCAAAGGGGGCAAGGAAGCGGCTCCTCTCCCCGCCTCACTTCTTCATGTCTTATGCCTGCTTTCCCATCCCTGACTCCAGTGGGCTCCCCGAGGACTCCCCTGTCCTTAGAGCTCCTCCGACGGAAGGCACCCGGGAGGTTACAGGCATGGATCCCAAGCCAAAACATCAGAAAAGGTCCTGCCTCTTGTGATTATACACTGCGTGCCATTTTCTAGCATGTGCACTCCTTGCACATTTCTGTATCCCCATGTGCCTGGCAGAGAGCCGCACACGAAGGAGATGCTCACAGAATTTTTGCTGTGCTAAAACAAATCAAGAGGGCTGTTTGGGCAGGATGGTACTGAAGGCCCACAAGCGTGTGTGTCCAGAGCTGCAGCACTAGAGTTCGATCCTGGCCCTACCATTTAGCCACCACATGACCTTGAGCTATTCACTTAACCTCTGTGTGCCTCCATTTGCTCATCTATAAATGGGTATAAGGCTTCCTAACTCATAAGGTTGTTGTAGACCAAAAGCATTCGTACATGTGGCCGTGCCTGGTTAAGTGCCATCAAGTGTCAGCTACTGTTGTGGCCCATGGAGAGGGAACAGGTGGTGGCCAAGAACACTCTACCTTCCCAACACTTAGCTTCCTTGCTCAAGAAGTCCGTTATGGAGCCTGGAGCCTCAGACAGATCAAGGCTCTAGTTCCAGCTCTGGGATTGATTGGCTGTGTCATGTCAGGTGAGGGGCTTCCCTGCTTTGGGCCTCAGTTTCCTCATCTGTAGAATGAGTGAATTGAGCCACAAGGTCTCTCATGTCCTTTCCAGCCCTAGTAGCCCATGAGTACTGGTACCTGACAAGGAAGAAAGGGGGTCTGAGCTGTGTGGAGGTGTGTGGGCTGCGCCCTGAGCAAGCAGCAGTGGAGAGCCAACGTCAGACACCCCAAGGCCCCTTCACTCACAGCACCCATCTGCTCAAGGCGCCCTTGAGTTTACATGTGGTGAGCTGCTGGTTTTCACGAAAAAGTGCCCAGAGGAGACTCTTCTGGGGCGTGTGCTTGGGAACCTAAGGAGCTAGGATCTAGATGAATGTCCCTGGGTCCGCTTGCTCTCTCTACAAAGTCTGCAGTGCGGGCCTGAGGTATCGGAGCAGCGGTGACCGGGGGTCAGAGCCCTGATTTTCCACAAGCCCACTCCTAGCCACTCCTGGTGGGCTGTTCACAGGGAACAATAACACGGCAGTGACACTCCCATCGCCTCCACGGGGGGCCTGCGTCGTCCTCCTGGACCACCCAGAGGCCAAGCCCACTCAACAGACCCTGCCTGGCATAGCCCAGGGTCCTCAGCCCCCTGCCTCCCACGGGCTCCTGCGGCTCCCCATGTGGGTCTGACTCCCTTCCTGACTCACCTTCCCCGAGGACTGGATGCCCTTGACGACGGCCATGCCCACGATGCTCCAGGCCACCAGGAGGCACAGGGTCATCTTCCAGTTGAGGCCCCCACTCTCCGAGATGGAGTTGGAGATGTCCAAGGCCTCTCGGTACCAGAAGTAGGTAGTGGCTGAGCTCTTCTCACACTCTGCCTCCACCACTGGAATAGCAGCAAAGGCCGTGGCCTCAGGTGGGGCTGCGGGGCCGCCTCCTCTGTTTGACCCCCACCCAGGGCAGCAGTGGGTGGGCGGCTGGCTGAGTGTGGGTGGCAGGGAGGTACTGTGCTCCTTCTAGGCTAGCCAGCCTCCGGCAGACCCTGAAGGACCCCAGATGGGGCTCCAGATGGGCCTGGGAGGCTTCAGGACACATGGATCTGGCTAAATTAACACACATGCATCCCTACCCGCCTCCACGCCTGGAGGACTGCCAGGATAGGCAGCACTGGTCTCGAGCTCCTTGGGACAGGTCCTGACATGGGAGCCAGACATATGGTTTCCCATCCCAGATCCCTGGCTAAATGAGTGGTGCAAACACAGGGACGTCACTTCTGGACCTCAGTTTACCCATCTGTGAGGTGGGATAAGTCACTTAGCCTTTTGTAAGACTGGCATGCAAATTAAGGCTGTTTCCAGATAGGATGGTGCTACAGTAACACAGGATCATTGATAATGACTAAACAAAAGTCACAGTTTCCAGAGTTTTCCCTACACTCATTTCATTCGATCCCCCTAAGAACTCTATGGGATCGGTTGGTAAGGGCCATCAGAATGGGAAATGAGGATCAGAGAGGGTAGGTATCTTGTTCAAGGTGACACAGCAAGTCCCAAATCTGTGCTTGAGCTTCTCAGGCTCCTCCAGCCCCTCCTGGGACAGGCTGGCTGGGGTCCCCAGGTGGTCATACTCAGGGGGTCTCATACTTGCCTGCCATAGTCCCATTCCTGATGACAGGACATTCACTCCAGGGCAGCGGGTACTGGAAAGACTTGAAGAAGTAGAAGATGCTCCACCCGATGATCACATTATAATACAGCCCAACAAAGAGGCAGACCTGAGGACAATGGACCACAGTGGTGGGGGTAGGGGTCACAAGGCCACAGGCAACTCCACCCCACCCCGACTCCCCATCCAAGGCCCAGGCTCAGGCAGACCAGACCGCACAGACTCTTGCAGGAGGTGGATGAGGAAGAGGAGGAGGAGGGATGCGGCATGGACGCTGAGGGTCTCCTAATCCTCCGCTCATCTGGTATTCAGACAATCCACGAAGGAATGTTTCAGATATTAAAGATCCCTCCTTTAAGCAATGAACTCTTAAAATGTTAATCCTTTCCAGTTTGAAATTCTTCTAAGATGCTTAAAGCATCTCCCCATCATTTCCTGATGACTCAGGATTACCATTCCAGAGCTGCCCTTGGGGGCTGTAGAGGCCTGCACAGCTTTTGCCCCTGTAGACAACAGCCCCAGATGGCAGTGTTCCCGGGGTTTTGTGGATGCTTCTTATTGGTTTCTTGTGCCCTCCCTCCTCTCAGGACACCACTCTCTCTTTGGTACCAGCAGCAGCAGCCTGTCGCGCAAAAGATGTCACTTCTTGTGTCTTGGAAACACGATCACCTACCTTGGTAGAATTATATTTGAAATAGGGATGCATAGTTTCGGACTGAGAGTCCAAGAGGTTTCTCAGGAAGCAGTGCTTTTACGCACGGGGATTTCCTACATCCACTGGGGGCTGGGGATGCTGAGAGGCCCCTCCACCTCCAGAGTCCCAGTTCTGGTATGCTGACTACTAGGTGAGCCGGGCGGGCTTGCTGCCTGGATTTCACCCAAGCCCTGGTGTGCAGAAGCAGACACTGCTCTGGCACACCTTAACGGGAGTACAGAGGGAGAAGGGCGCCCACTTCTTTTACTTGGGTGTGTTCCGGCCGAGTGGAGCCCCTTTCACACTCGTGTACACACACGGCCAGCCCCAGCAGAGGATGCTGCGTCTAGCCGTGGCAACCGGAGCAGAGATGATACCCAGCAGGACTCCGGGAGCTACACAGACCCTCCCCTGGTCTCTGCCTGAGGCAGGCTTGGCCTGGCCGTGCTGCCAGGCCTAACAGAATCCTTGGTCCCTTCCAGAAGCAGGTGTGAGCAGGCGCGCCCGTGTGCTTTGCCCTTAAGAGAAGCTCAGTTTCCTTCCCTAGAGAGCTAAGCAGAGCCTGACCTCCAGCCCGGTGAACAAGCCTCACAGAGTTCCCCACCCAGCCAGTGGGGTCTCCCTGGCTCCCACTGTTCCAAAGCCTCACCCCTTCTGGGTCAGCCCCGCACTCTTGTCTGAGACCTTCTCCAACTCTATTCCTGTGCCTCAGGGCTGCCTTTTCCTGTGCCACACACTTGTCCAATTCAAATACTCTTCAATCAAGGAAAGAGGAAGAGCCCCCCTTGCGGAGAGCTGATGGGTCAGTAAGCAGACGGAGCTATCCAGGAGGGTCCACGTGTCCCCAGAGAACTCCGGCTGAGATGTCCCAGCCTTTCCTCCTTGGTAGCAATTCCAAATATCATATCCTGCCTCAGGCAGTGTAGCCAACTTTCAAAGGAGGAAATATGTAGCCCTGAGACACCAGCTGGAAACAATTCTCATGCAGAGGGTCTCCCTCCTTGCCCTTGACCCAAGACTCTGGTCTGCAAACCTCGGACCTGAGAGCAGCCCCTCTGCCTGCTGGTTAGTGCCCAGTGCTGGCCCCCGACTCACTATGCAGCTAGAGAAGCCGATGCCCCCCAGGCGGGGGCACACGTAGTGCCACACACCAATGCTGCCGCGGCGGATCCTCTGGCCCACAGCCAGCTCCAAGAAGAAGAGTGGGATCCCGATGATGATCAACAGCACAAGGTAGGGCACTAGGTAGGCACCTGGGGAGGAGAGAGGATGTCAGAGGAATGCACGGCACCCAGGGTAAGGGAGGACAGCCATGTCCTACAGTCTTGCCCACATCTCTGACCACCCTCAAACTGCGACCAGTCCTTGGACTCCTCCTCCAGGAAGGCCCCGGCTTATACATGTGACCCACAACGCACTGGCCACCCAGACGTCCCTTGACTCCCCTGATCAGAAATGCTACGGGAGGACTGCTCACAAGGTTAGATTCAGAGACAGATGCCATACTGTCTCGGGAATCCACACGTCGAGTCACGCAGACCGGCTCACCTCCTTAACGTACTCTGTGGACACCTGTTCATGCTCCCTCCCGCCCACAGAGAAGCAGCCCCAGATGGAGGTGGAGTGGGTCCTGATCACTCGCCGCCCAGAGGCACAGACCCCAGGCACGGCCTTCCCCGCATCTGAAACTGAAGCCAGCGCGGCGGACCTGGCAGCTCCAGGGAAGCAGAGCTTGGAAGTTCTCCAGGGAGAGGGTCTGACCAGCACCACCATTAATCTACAGCTAATTGGGAGGAACGAGAGAGGAATTAGCAGTTCAGAAAAGCACAGCCAGGAGGATGGTAATGGATAGACAGAATGGATCTTGATAAAGATTCTGGATGATAAATTAAGCTCACTGTCCTGACCTCACTGCAGACACAATCGCAATTCCAAGTGACAGGGCGTTTAGCAGGAGAATTAAAATGGTGTCTGGACACAGACGAGTGATCTCTGCTGAGAGATGTGCCAGCAACCTAGTCCTGTTAGCAACGCCATCAGACAGCTCCAGACAGTCACCAGTGCCCTGATGGTCACCCAGCATCCCCCAGACCAAACCTTGCCAGCTGGGAGTATCCAGAAGACCCCCAGCCACGCACTGCTCTGCCCCCCATAACATGACAGTCCACATGTGTCCAATTTGCCAACAAACTCAGGGGATAGGGCATCTCCTGAGCACAAGACCCGGCACTTGGCAACAGTCAGCTGTTTATTGCAGGTCAACCCTGTGCCAGGCATGTGCAGTGGTGGGGGGTGGATTGGGGAGCAAAAGAAGGCACAATCAGTACACCACTATCCCAGGAGAGCTCACAGTCTGGAAGGCAGGACCCTCAGCTTCACGTGAGCAATGTCAGCACATGTGTATACACACACACGGACTCGTCACAGAGGGCCGGCTGAGCACTCTGCGAGCCAAGGGAGGGGTCGGGGTCCAACAGCACTGATCAGGAAAGGCTTCCAAGGGCACTAACCCATCCAGCCGTACACAGCAGCATCCAATTCATCAAGCATGCACATATACACGATCACACATACACATAACATCAACTTGCCACTAACAAGCAGTGCCAATCCTGGCCCCTAAAGGAGGGTGGGCCTGAAGGACTCCTGGTTCTCTCTCTTGGTCTTGAGTTCGGGGAAATGAAAGAGGAGACACATGACCAGCAAAAAGTCAAAGGGACACAGCCTCACCGGTTTTATATTTCAGCCATATACCCTTGGATGGGGCAAAAGGTGCAGGGAGACGGGTTTTGGGGTGTCTGAAGAGTAGGCTGGCATCTTCTGTGAAGGCTTCTCTCCTCTCCCCAAAGCACCAGAGACAGCCTCCACCTATGTGCTGTCCAAAGAGTGGCCCTCAGCAAAGACCAGCCACAGGCAACCTGCCACCTGTCACTGGGGCCGGTGGCCTCAGTCAGGCTCAGGGCACGGACTTGGCTCAGCTCCCCTCACAGTGCCACGGCCCAGCCACACACAGTGCTCAGGGGCTGTGGTCCAGGTGAGGATCTTTGGTTAGGTAGAGGTACTTTTTTCTTATCAACCCTTGCATAAATCATTTGGAAATGCACTCTCTACTACCTTCGAAAATACAACTTGGAGACACAACTGGAATCCCTTTGATATTTCAGTGACTTGCGGGAACTTTGGAGTCCTCCATCTGAACAGCTGGGAGCACTGCTTCAGGGTGTCAGGAGGTTTTGCAGAACATGGCTCTAAGAAGCTTGACTGTGGCATCTCTGAGGCCCCCTGGAGCTCTACAGTCTCCATCTAGGTCTGTACTCTGGGTCTTGCTTCCTGCAAATCCCGAGGTTATTTTTGGGATTTGAAAGACCACCTGGGGCTAAGCCTGTGGAGAAGCATACCGAGTAGGGGCTGAGATCCGGACCCTGGAGCCAGACCTTCTGGGCTTGAACCCTGGCTCTGCCACTTACTAGCTGTGTGACTTTGGGCCATTCCTTGATCTCTCTATGCCACTTTTTGTCATCTATATAAAGATGATGATAACATTCGGCAGAATCACATGAAACTGCTGGTATTGTGACCATTTTTGATTCAGAAAAACAGCCATTTCCCATGGTTCAATGCGACCCACTGCACAGGGCTGTTGTGAGGATTACATGTGTTACTTACCCCCAGTCAGCACCTGATGAACATCTGCCTCTTTTTCATAAGAATCAACAGGAAAAAAAAGGAAACTAAGACGATGCAGAATAAACTGTCAGCATTGAGTGGAGCTAAGCAGAGTTCCAGAACACCCACCCAGATTTGAGCCAAGTTTGACCAGCTCCCCCATGGCTCAAAATCACAGAGCTTCTACTCTCTGTCCAAATAGTTTCCTCCTTCCTGTATATATATGAAATAGGATCATTTGCCTCCTTCTAAAAAACATTTAAGATGACCTGCCGTAAAACGTGTAGGATACAGGAGGGCTAAAGGCAGAGATAAAAAGGGATTCTAGGAATCAGAGAGGATGGAAGAATGAGAGCAGGAATGAGGAATGGAGAGCTCCAAATACTGAGCCGCTAACAATGCTTTCCTGGGGGTTGTCCGGGCGTCTGGCGCCCGGACAATTGGCTGGTGGCACCGTGAACAGGAAAGCTCCGGCAAGACCACTGCCCTGGGAGCGTGTGTGGTGTGGGGAGAGAGACCCTGATTCAGCACCCAGTGCCCAGGCAGAGCTGATCATCTAAGCCACAGGGGTAAGGTTAGTGGTTCCCAGCTGGAGTCCCCAGATAATGACGCACCCTCTGAAGTCACTGTGGATGCTGCTTGTCAGCATCTCTCAGCACGTAAGAAAACCACACACTTGGATTTCTATCTCTGCTTTGGGCTTCTCTTCTAGCAACTCAGTGACCTGAGTCTGGCCATGCCATACGGACCGAAAGCTCTAACTGGCAGTTGCTGATTGATTGGGGTGGGGTTGGGGAAGATTTTTCAAAGCATGGACAGCATATGGTAAATAGACCATGCTCTGGTGGAAAGTTACACCAGCTCGAGTGGCATTCTCACTCCTGCCTTTCAACAGAAATGGGAAAGGTGGGGAAGCCTCCAGCTAGACTTGGCCTCTGGGCTGGAGGGAGTGTGTTCTGGAGAGGAGAGAGTGTCCCTGAATGGGGCTGCATCTCTGGGACAGGCTCCGTGGCCAGAGTCCCCTGGAGCAGAGGCAGGAGTCAGGTTAAAATGCTGACAAAGCTGTGGCCACCCATCAGGCTGGAGTGAGGCAGTCCCAGGCCACGGGGACTCAGAGGCACAAGGACCTTCTGCTCCCTCAAATCACTTTCCCAGGACCAGATGTCCGAGCTTGTAAATGCCATTGTATTCAGCCCGCTAGGTTTTTCTGTTTGTTTTTTGTTAGTGTTCCCCTGGTTTCAAAACAAATTACCTTTGGAACTTTCCAGTCTGTCTCAGAGGGGCTGGGGGATAAAGCCCCAGGGGGCTGCTACCTATCCTGATGGCTGGAAGTGGTTAGTAAAAGGGGTTTGATACTGGGAGCAAGATCCCCTAGGTGGATTAAAACTCAAGGGGCAGCGTGAGGCCCCCTCCTCGCTGGGAGGCAGCAGCAGGCGTACTCAGACTCCCTGGCCAAGCTGTCCAGGTGAGAATCCTCACTTTGTCACTAGCGGTGTGACTTGAGCAAGTCATCTAATCTCTCTGTGCCTCAAAACTGACAGTCTCTACCATGAAGATAATAACTCCTTTCTCACATAGGTGTAGAGGGATCCGATGGTTGAACTGTATGAAATTGGTGTTTTGGTTATTCCAAGATGCTCAGATACTAGCAGTTTCGTGCATTTCAGCCTAAGAGCCAGCAAGTGTTAAACAGTGCCTGGCACCTGCTAAGCATTTCATTACAATGGCCAACCACTGCTCCTCACTATGCGTCAGATACGGTGTGAAGCATTCTACATGTAAAGCTTGTTTAATCCTCCTCACGCTGCTGTGAGGCAGGATCTATCATTCCCATTTTACGGGTGAAGAACAGAGAGGTGCAGAGAGATCAAGCACCTTGCACGGGTTTGCAGGGCTGACTGGCCGCACTGGGGCTTGCCTGCAGGCGGTCCTGGGCCATAGGCCGTGTTCTGGTTATCATCACTCCGACAGCCTCTTGGTAGCTGTTAACTATTAGCTATTTCTGGGGAGCCTTCCTCTAGAACCCTGAGCTCCACCCTACAAGAGCCCCGACTGCATACGCAAAGGGCTGTTCCTTCTCACCCCTCAGCCCGGCCCGTTTGCAGAGCACCCTGGGGGCAGGCAGGGCCGCCTCTTACCACCTCCATTTTTCTGGCACAGGTAGGGGAACCTCCAGATGTTGCCCAGGCCCACAGAGAACCCGATCTGGGCCAGGATGTACTGCAGCTTGCTGTTCCAGGCCGGCCGGTCCTCCGCATCCAGCTCCTCCTCTGCTGCCTTCTGCTTGCCGCCGGCCTCACCTGCCACATTCAGGATGCTCTGCTTGTAGTCCACCGGCTCCTCAAGGGCCAGCAGGTCGGCCACCGACTCCGTGACATGCTCACCGCTGTGCTCACGCTGGGTCACCTTGCTGTTCTTCGGCATTGGTGCCACTCGGGCCACACAGCCCTGCTTCCCAGCACTCAGAGAAGGTGACACTCTGCTGTTGTCAGCTCCTTCTCATCCGGGCACCTGCGAGAGTGACCAGGTGAACAGGAGAAGCTTAGTTGACCACAACAACTTGCTGACTACACCAGGGAGGTGGGGGGGGGGGCAAGTGGATGCAAATCCCCCATCACTCTAGGGCACACACCTGGAGGCTGGGCAGTGAGCAGCCTGGAATGTGGAGCTTGTCTTCCTCCCTGCCCCCCAGAGGAAACCCCCCAAGGACCTCAAAGTCTGCAGACTCAGTTCTCCCACGGCTGCTGAGCATCACTGAAGGTAAACCTACTGGGGCAGAAGAGGCCAAACCAGACACCACACTCAAATTAAGGGCCATCTCCCATGGCACTGCCCCTGTCATCACTGCATAGACCAGAGTGCTCAGGACCCTTCCGAGGCTCCCCAGACCTCCCCTCACAGGGGTGCAGGTTGTGGCCAAGCCCAGCCCTCCTGAGCTCTTTGTAGCCAAACCACGGGGTGGGGGGGGCGGCAGGGAAGTTGGGGTCTGCCTTCACCAGGGTCTTTCTTTTCAAAGTACAGTTCGGGGGGATCCCTGGGTGGCTCAGCGGTTTAGCACCTGCCTTTGGCCCAGGGCACAATCCTGGAGTCCTGGGATTGAGTCCCGCATCAGGCTCCCGGCATGGAGCCTGCTTCTCCCTCCTGTGTCTCTGCCTCTCTCTCTCTCTCTCTTATGAATAAATAAATAAATCTTTAAAAAAAGAAGTACAGTTCGTGGGCCAGCAGCAGCATGGGGAGCTTGCTAGAGACGCAGAAACCCGGGCCCATCCCCAGACCTACTGAATCAGTCTCTGTATTTTTTTTTATTTTTATTTATTTATGATAGTCACACAGAATGACAGAGAGAGGCAGAGACATAGGCAGAGGGAGAAGCAGGCTCCATGCACAGGGAGCCCGACGTGGGACTCTATCCCGGGTCTCCAGGATCGCGCCCTGGGCCAAAGGCAGGCACCAAACCGCTGCGCCACCCAGGGATCCCCAGTCTCTGTATTTTTACAGAACCCTCAGGTGATTCAGGGGACATTAATGCTTGCAAAAAAAAAAAAGTTAGAGCTCTGACTTCGGGGACCTGGAACCAGCCTCCGTGTCCCCTTCACTCCCCAGCAGGAACTCTAACCAGGTTCTGCTAAGGGTTCTGGCACCACAGCCCTGGAGGTGTTCGCTTAGTGCCAACAGATGCTGGGTCATCGCTCAGCGCCCACACTGTCTGAGGGCCACGCCGCCGCCGCAGCCGCCGCCAAGAGAGCCAGTTCTCCATCCCAGCGACAGGCGACAGTCTTACAGCAGATCTTCTGTCTGCACAATGCAGGCGGGGCCAGCCCCCCCCCCCCCCCCGCGGCTCCCCCCCACCGCCAATCCTCCCGCTGGCTTTCACGCTTTCCCTTAAAGAAATAAAGCACCAAGGAAACAAGTCCTTTGAAATCAACAAGCTGCTATGTTCAAAGCACCTCCTCCTTAAGGAGAGGTTGGAGGATTTAAAATTAAACACACACACACACACACACACACACACACACACACACACACACACGGCCTGCAGGTGCCCTGCACTTTCTAGGGATGTAAATTACCCAGCTCTGTAATCCCTCACTGGGGGGAGGAGCTGCCTCTGGAAGCCTCGCTGCCTGTAGTTGCCATCAGAACAGCATCAGAACAGCACGGGCCAGGGCACTGCACAGAAGTAGCTTAGCCCAGGCCTCCTGGGTGACTCCAGTTACGACCCAAACTTCAAGGGGACCTGGCCAGCCAGATCCTGTTACCTGTGTAGTGATGCTGGGAGACCTGACAGATGCGGACGGCCCATGCTGGTCTGTGCGGTTAGCCAGCCCTCCCTGGGCCAGGCCATGGGCCACAGCAGCAGGTGACACCTCCCTGCCTTTCTCATCCAAGGGAGACAGTGAGTCTTTGGTGACTACCCCTTAGGCCCCAGGAGCAGTAGGGTCTTGGGCTTTGGAGTGACTGAGACAGAACCAGTCTGCCTAAAAGACCTTAGAATTCTCTAAAAGAAATGCAGCTCTCTGTTGGGACTCCACACTGGGTTCAGCTGAACGTTCCACTGTGTCCTGGCGGGAGTGTGTGTCTGCTGACCCTTCAGCGCTCTGCCTCCCTTGGCTGCGGGGGGGGGGGGGGGGGGGGGCATGCTACGTAAGGGAATGGTGCCCTCAGGGGTCACACAATGGGGAGGCCTGTGCTCTTGCTTGGGCTGCCAGCATGAGCCCCTCCCCCTTCCCCAGTCAGCAGGTCCCTGTGCCCATGGCCCTCAAAGGCAGACAACCCAAGGCACATGCAAGGGCTGGCTGTCTGGCTACCCCATCTCCCCTGCATCTTCAAGAAGAGTTTTTATGAAAGACAGAAGTGGGAAGAAGGGTTGGGGTCCCTCTGGAGGCAGCAATCACCAGGGTTCCAGCTCAGAGCCTGTCTCCAGGTACTCTGCCTGCAGTGGAATCTGATCAGGACAATCTGCAGTGCATTAGGTATGATTTACTGCCCATTATCTCACAACTGAAGAAAACCGAAGGGGATTCCCGTAAGTCTGCAGAATTCATCCTGCTGCTGACCAACTGGAGGACACGCTTTCCCATAAATAGTCTAGAGAGTGGCAGCTCTGGTCACCAGCAGAGAAAGGGCTGCAGAGAGGGGACAAGCATCATTCAAATTAGGAGGACTCAAGGACAAAATTAGCACATTCTGGTAAAGCCAGGGAAGGATGCCCACAGCAGCATCACAGAAACCACAGGCACCAGCCCAGCAGGGCTTCTTTCTTCCCAAGAGGTGTGTGAGAGCATCCTGCATCACAGGACGGGGGCCGGGGCCTTCTGTGCCATCAGGTTTGCAGGACGAAAAGTGCTGGGGCAAATTTGCAAGCAGGGGCACTGGGATGGGCTGCAATCATGACTGGAACCTTCTGTGCCCAGGAACACGCTGGGTGACAACAGAGTCTGACACTTAGAATATTAAAGCTTGAGGGGCCCTGGCAATATTTTCATTTTCTATATGAGAAAATTGAAGCCCGGGGGGAAATGGATTGCAAAAGGAAGAAACAGGAAGAAGATGGTGGTAGTGAGGGCAGGGGCTTTGTAGTCAGAGGGGCCTGAGTTCAAGAGCTCCCATTTCATACATTTGTTCATTTACTGGGTGCCTTCCCCAGGCCAGGCTCTGTTCTACATGCCAGGGATGCAACAGCAAACAAAATGAGCGAAGTGTCTCCTCTGGGGGTTTATATTTCTTGTGGAAGGGTCAGATGCCAATGAAGGAAAGAAACACACAGTGGCCGGTGGGGACGCACGATATAAAGAGAAATGACACGGAGGGGAGGGCAGTGTTGCAAGCGGAAGGGCCACTATTTTATGGTCTAAAAAGGCATTCCTGAGGAGGGGACATCTCGGCAAGATGTTCAGGAAAATGTGTGTCACATGAGTGAGCAATCGGACAAAATGGGAACGCTCAAGCCCTGTCCTGTCTTCAAAGGCCCTGCCCTCCGCCGCCGCCACCGCCACCGCCACCTCTGGGGCCGTTGCCCGGTGCACAAGGCAGGCAGCCACTTCAATTATGCAGGTGTCGGTTCTCTCCAGGGTGAAACAGGGTCTGTGATGACAGCTCCCCGCTCCCCAAGGGGGGCCACCTGCGGACTCCACGAGCGGACGCCTCCAAAGTGGCCAGCTCGGGGCCTGGCGCCAGGAGGGCCCCCGCTACCGGGAAGCCTTGCACTGTTTGCCTTGATTCACCGAAAAATACCTAAGCCCCCCATTTATATTACATATTAATCACATAAATGCCATTTCTCCTCAAGAAAAGCCAGAGTGAGTGTGCGGTGTAAGTGGGGTAGGGGTGGAGAAGCCTTTGCCACCCACACCATCCCAGAACTGTCCGGCTTTTGTCAGCAGGATCTGGCCCCCCCACCCCGAGGCTCCTAGGTGGCACCCCACGACCCCCAGCCCGGGCCCGCCTCACCCGGGCCACAGGGAAGCAGGGGAAGGTCTGCTGAGCGCCAGCTCTTCGGTGTAAAAATGCGAATCTCACTACTCACGGTGCCACAGCCCCGTATTAAAGCCTAGCAACCTCGGCAGTGGCCCCCCAGGCCCCTCGTCAGCAGTGGCCCCCCGGCCCATCTCATTGGGAGTGGCCCCCAGCCCCCCTCATTGGGAGTGGCCCCCCGGCCCCCCTCGTTGGCAGTGGCCCCCCGGCCCCTCTGGGATAGCTTGGAGCCACCAGGTTTCCGCTCAGCCTCGGGGTGGTTGGACGTGGGGCGCTGCTCAGAAGCCGGGCCACGCGGCTCTGGGCCCAGCTCGGCGCCCAGCAGCTGCCTAGCCGGCAAGTGGTCTGGGGTCTCGGGGCTCCGTGGCCCAGCTGTCAAAGGAGGACAGCAGTGCCCACCCTACAGAGCTGCGCGGAACAGGGGTGGCGGGTCTCAGGGCACTGCTCACAGCGGCGCCTCTTCTTGGCACCCCACTGAATCCTCAGGCCCTGGGAGGCGAGGGGGACAGCCGTGCCCCAGGGCAGGCAGCACCCACGTCTCTGAGCTCCTGCGCTGCCTCCTGTTTGAAAGAGGCTGTGGCACCAGTGACGGGGAGCAGGCCTCCCCCGGCAGCCCAGCTCCCTGCGCCCGTGAGACGCAGCTTTCAGACCGGGGCGGGGGTCCAACACGGCCCAGCCCACAGCCCCAAAGCATTACCCGCGACAAGCACCGGGATCAGAGAAGGCCCAGGTTTCTCTCTGCCCCCTGACTTTGCAGTCCAGGGAGCCAGCCATGATCCGGGTATCGGGAGGCCAGCCAGGCGCCGGTCCTGACCGACCACCAACCGTGCACACGGACACCACTGCCCTGCCCTCGCTAGGCCTCAGCTTTCCCGTGTGTAAAATGGGTTGGTGAGCATGGTCTCTGAGGCACCATTCAGCTCCGTATACATCCAGGGGGTGTCCCCCTGCACACGGGTGTGAGCAAGGCATGACCATGGACACCTGACACTGCAAGCCTGGTGATGCTGAGGCAGCCTGCCCAGCCAGACTCGAAT